AATAATAAATATATATTATATTGTAATTATATATATTATATTATAATATAATATAATATAGTCGCAATTTTTAACTGTTCACAGTAATTTAACTTCATAATTTACTAAACAATATTACACTGATTTTGAAACCAACATAGCTACTATAATTATAGTTTATCAAACACATAACTATTTTTTATAATAGTTGTTTCTTCCTTCAGAACAACTAAAAGTACTAAACTAAGCCGATGTCTTTATTTTACAAATCAAATGAAAATCGATCCCCTCTAATATGAACTCGTTGACTAAAAGCATACAATTATAAAGTATCAAAATAATCATTGACTACTTTTTTCAAAAGTTTTAGAAGATAATAGAAAACACATTTTACAGAATATATATATATATATATGGATTCTCCAACTCCTTTGTTTGCATTTTATGACGATAACATGATATTATCAATCATATTGGTCAAAAGCTTTTACACTTGAATTCAAATTTTCAATTCGAGTTGAGATGTAATATTTTTTTAGAGTTTTTCACTGTAAAAGAAAAAGTTAGATGTGACATTTTTTGAGAGCTTTTTACTGTAAAACCTAGAATTAAAAACTCGAATCGGTGAAATGAACAAGACTTTAATAACTTCGTGAAATTAAAAATCAATAAATAAAAGTTCCGTTTATTTTACTGATTCGAGTTTAGAATTCAAATTTTGTTACAGTAAAAAAGCTCTTAGAAATAATTACATCTAACTTTTTTACTACAGTAAAAAATTCTCACATAAATCACATTTCAATTCAAATTAGAAACTCTAAACAGGTCCAAAATCATTCTCTTATTACTAGTTCACTTGACAATAATATTAACGGAGTACTGAGCTTTTTGTCGTCATTACCAGTAACTTAAACACTAGATAAGCTAAACATTGGCTTACATTTAACAAACAAATTTAAGCAAATCACGCTCAGACATAAAAGATAAAAAAGTTACATAAATGACGCATATTTATGGGAGCCACATTTAAGAAGGCCAAAAAATATATATTTAAATGAAGACATATAAGAAAAAAAAAAAAAAAAGCTAAAATAATATTTTAACAGGAAAATTTAAAAATGAAGATAATATGGTCATGAGAGAAAAAATTAAGGAAAATAAAAGAAGTAGAACCACAACGGTCTTTGATTAAGGGCACAAAACTCTATTATATAATTTCTAAAAGTAAGAAACCCTTTCTTATTACAAAAAAATCTTAAAAACATAAATATCATATATGTTTGATATTCCTTTAGTAAAATTTTTTTTTTCTTTTTGAGTAGACCTTAGTAAATTGATTGTTACTTTAATAAACAGCTTTTAACACAACAGTGAATATTCTTTCTTCTAGAGAAGGAAGCATAACATCAAAATGTAACATAAGCTCTACTTGAATAAAGACAGTTAATTGTACGTCTTTTTCATGCATCATCAAATAGAACTTGCGCAAACAGGCAAGCAGCAAGAAGTTTACTAGCCTTGCAAATATTACTTAGTTAATTATAAGTGTTGTTATCCATTTACTAAGCAGTCTCCAAGAGAGTTACTGCCTCAAGCTTTCGATGATATACGACGCGTACAGATCCCTGCAGCAAAAACGGTAGAGAGAACAAGAACTCAAAGACGAGAGAAATATGATTAATATTTCACGCATCAACTTAGTCCGAGTTGAGAATACAATCAATAGGCTTTATGTATATATCTTGTCACAGTTATGTTTCACGAAGAGATTATGCACAAGAAAGAAAAAGAATTAAGAACACTCACATAGAGTACTTTATGGCATCAATGGCTGCTTCAGCTGGTAGAAACTCCTCAACTTCCACTTTCTTGTTCTCGTTCTTTTTGTCTATTATTATTATTCATGAAAGTTAAGCATATCTTGTGCAAAACAAGTATAGGTTTGTGTAGATAATAGGAACTTTGAATAAACTGAGGGAGCTATAAAAGTTTTGCAACAAATGGTGGTTTATTAACCAATTTACTAAATGAATCATTCACTAAATGATGCATGTGGGTGGATACAGTCCTCAAAGAATCGACGAATTTCTTGAAGACGATGCGGAGGAAGCTCGTTGATGCTGGTGTAGTGGCGAAACTCAGGGTCATCAGCACATACTGCAATAATTTTGTCATCCTTTTCACCCTGCAATTTGAGTCACGTTAGCATAAACCTTTGAACAAGAACCTCAAATTCTGTTGGTGTATAAGTTTAAGGTTTAAGATCAACAATGCACATTAACCGCAAACTAGTAGCCCAAGCAAGTTAGAATCAAGAATTAAGGAAACAAATTGACTGGTGGACATGGGAAAAAGTCACAAACATAAGTTTCATAATTAAATTGTGATGCAAACTCCGACAATAGAGATCACAAATGAGCCACTATTTTTTTAATGAAAATTTTGTATCTAGACATCACCAAGGAACCATTATTTTCTCCTTCACAACAGCTAATCGAATGCAGGCTAGAGTTTAATTGGCAAAGTACGACATTGAACTTGGAAAGCAGGTGGTTTACCTGATCAAGCATGGGCATTAATCCAATGGCCCGAGCACGAAGGAAGGTACCGGGCAGCACAGGCTCCTGCAAGAAAAATCCTAGAAGGTTGTGTAAAATGTTTAGTTTGAATTAATGAAAGCTTATGCAACAAAATAACTGTACCTGCATCAGTATCAGGACATCCATGGGATCACTGTCCTCACAAAGTGTTCGAGGAATGAAGCCATAGTTGTGGGGATAAACAACTGATGAGTAAAGAACTCGATCAACCTACTTTGAACAACTTTGTACATTAGCTATCCTCATTTAGAATACAAAGAATTTAACAATAATAACAACAACAACAACAACAATAACAAATAAGTTTCTCCAAAATTGGCAATATTCTGCAAACAAATAAAAGGGAATATAATAGGGAACAAGAAGTTGGTTCTTCGAATAAATTCATCAACTCAAATGCTATAAAAAGAAAAATTCAGAATTTAGAAAAGAGGCCAAAATAGTCATTCTATACTTGAATTATGATATATGAACTTCAGCCTTATTATTATAGCAGGCAATATTTAGATTTGATAAATATGATAAATGGGGATAGAAATAATCTTTTTGTTTGTTGGAGGAAATTTTAACTATGCAGTATGATCACAGTGACAACAGGGTCATGACATCATTATGAAAATTCCACTTAGAGCACGAATTTGCTTCTAACTGGGTAAATTTAGATTTTCCTTTCTTATCTATTGTACCAGCCAATAACTGGACTAAATCATAATCAAAATAAAAAGAAAATGTTCAAATTCAATGCTAGAATTGGAAATTTGGTGGACTGTATCATACTTTTATGAGGCCACTCGCTTTGTCGAGCTCATACTTAACCTTGCTGCCTTTGCCAATTTCAACCACCTGCAAAGGAAAAAACATGTATGCATTAGCTCCAAGTGTGCAAAATTCTTGATTTTGAGCTCAAATTCCAATTTCCCTTAACGAAGATGCACCACTAGAAATGGTTCAAAACTATTAAGAAAAAATTGTACTAAGGTCGGTCAATAGTGAGCGTAGTTCCGTCAATTTCACATAACCTTTTAAGTTGGGTCACTATTAGTTGAAAAGCATAATGTCTAGTTTGATTCTGTCCTTCCATCACATCAATATGCAAACTCTCAACAACAATACCGGATATGGGTTTTAACAAAACGATAGGGATAAAAGAAAACATACACAGTTGAAAGTCGTTGGGGCACCAGGTCCTGTGTAGAGTAAACACCAAGCATTACGTAAGATTGCAATAACAAACTGTTTCAATTACTCTGGGTACTTTAGACATGAATTCAAAAAACAGTAGTTAAAAAAGCCAGCTAACATAAACTGGAAGTAAAATGAAAAGAGCCAGCAAACAAATATGACCAATCTCTAAGTCATGCCACGGATGCGCCGCCACAGATCTTCGTGACATTGAAGAAAGAATCCTTTCATTCAGAGCAACATGATGAGGTCCGGAATACTTCCCACTCGCTTCTCCATGGTTGTTAGCCATACTCAACCTTTACAATTGAAAGTTGTTAAAAAATTAATATTCATTAAAAATGCTATGGTGTAATGTTTAATGTTCAAGTATAAAATTGATTCGCCATTAACAAGGTCAAAATCCTTTCAACACTGAACAAGTAATTGATTTTAGAAGAATGGAGAAACTAGAATCTGCTTCATTTCCCTATAGTCAAGCCAAAACTATATCTAGATTTCATATACAAAATGAAAACCAAAAATTTTTCATTTACACATTTTCAACAGCAGTCACGCTCACACTAAAGATTAAGACCTATGCGTTTAGAACTCATTTCAAAATAATTTTATTTTTTTATATAAAAATAAAAATGAAAATGTTTTCAATCTCAGACATAAATTATTTTTAAAAATATCTAAAAAAATCCATTAATGTCTATCTCTGTGCTCGAGAGAAACAAAACGAAAATAAAAAATGAAAAAATTATTTTTTATTTATCTCATATTTTACACTAAACTAAAAAATTATTTTTATTGTCTGTGCTCGAGAGAAAAAAAATGAAAATAAAAAATGAAAAAATCATTTTTTATTTATCTCATATTTTACACTAAACTAAAAAATTATTTTTATTTTTTTATTTTTATCTTAAAAAACGTAAAAAATAAAAACAAAACCAACTTCAAAGGTCATAATAATTTTTTTAATTTTTTAGCGAAAATAATGAAAAAAGGGAAGAGTAAAGAAACACCCACAAAAGATACTCAAGAAATCTGTTAATCTACTTAAAAGGTCACCTTACAACGCAAACAAAAATTTGAAAGGCACATTTTAATTAATTAATTTTTTTTTTTTTTTAAAAACCGATCCCCAACTTTTGGACCAATAAATTACAGAACCCATCAAAGATTACACAAAATAATAACAAAAATGCAATCTCAGAGCGTTTTAATCAAAAGGGCAAAGCTTATATTTGCTCAACAGAAAAACCCCACAATACAAATCATAAAAAACGCCTCAAATGAAAAAAAAAAAAAAAAAAAAAAAAAGAACAAATAAAAAGCTTAAAGAAAATCGTCGAAGCCATTGAAGAAACGCTTACAGAGCACCAATATTGCTGAAAAAGCTCTTTGATTATGGTCTCTACAGCACAGAAAATGGAGAAAGGAAGAGACTTCGAAGCACAGTATAGCTGTATAAGCTTTCTTGCTTATATACGAAGAATAATGGAATTTCGTGATATTATTTAGAATAGTTTTTTTTATTTTTTATGCGTCATATCTCAGCGGTCAGTCATGGGTCAATATCTGTCGTCCGATGAAAAAGCCAAAAAAATCTGACGGTCATTGTCGCTCAATTGTCAGAGCTTGATTTCTCGAAATGACAGTCTAGGCGAAATGGATTTAAAAAACTAGCACTACTGAAACGTAGGTCAAGTACCAATTATTGAGCTACACGTAAGCCAACTTTCCACGTAAAACTGTTTTTCCAATTATTTTATTGCGTAACTTTTCCCGTCCACTTATTCTTAAAAAATATATATATATATATTTCCCGTCCACTTAAATAAAACCTTTGCTTTATCAACTAAAAAAAATTTGTTAGAATAATAATAAAAGAGACTTTCTTTAGTGTATCTTTCTTTTTAAGAATATTAGTATTTTTTATTTTTTAACCGTTAAATTTATATTAGAATATATTTAATTTTTATATTTTCTAATTTGATATAATTTTAGTTAAATTTAACGGTTGAAAAAATAAAAAATACTAAAAAAACTCCCATAATAAAAGAATAAGGGAGTTTCTCTAATAAAATTTTAAAAAATGAACTATTAGTAATTTTTTTTATCGTCAGATTCATATTTAAAATTATTTATTCTGTATATTTTTTTTAATTTGATGTGATTTTAATCCAATTTAATAGTCAGAAACTGACTCTACTAATAAAGAGACGCTACTAATAAAGAGACGTTACTTGAGAAAACCCTTAAAAGAGTAAATGATTTTTAGATGGATGCCTTCAACTTCACGCGTTTGGTAATTCAATTCATAAACTAAAAATCTTGGCAAACGATCTCTCAAACTTCAAAATCCATTGCATTGTGGTTCAATAAAACATGAGGTTAAATTTTCTACGTTTGTTCTTTCATATGACTCGCATGTGACTTTTTATTAAGCACGGTTTAGATCCTTTTTGCTGTCAATAGATCCTGTATACACAAAACTCTCTTCCTCCCATAATGAATCTAATTATATTAAGGAGACATTTGGTTCATGAATTAGAATCATATGATTAGAATCATTTTCGATTTACGTATATTTTTTGTGAGAGAAAACACTATAGCGAATCATGAACTATGATTCAAATCATGGTTTGAATCCTTCAACCAAACATCTCCTAAGACTGCAAGCAAGCTGAGTTTTGTTATCAATGTATTAAGTTGTGGGTTTGTTAGGTTTTTTAGTATGGGCAAATTTTATTGGCAACAACTGTTTATGTCATTTAAAAAAAAAAAAAAAAAAAATAACAGGTGATAGGCTGATAGCCGATGAAGACATGTTGTTGTACGTGAGGTGTTCAACAAGAGTTTGCATTTAGAGTTGAAGAAGATAATATGCTGGTCAAGAGTTGGAAGATTTGGTAATGCTGCAAGCTTGGGTGACATGATCACATCCGAAAAACAAGCAAGATGGAGTTCAAATGGTATTTGTTGTGCAGATTGATTTGAATTTGAAATTCAAAAAGGCGTTGAATTATCTTGAAGGAGTTAATCAGGTGACTTGGTTGTGAAGAGCACGTGAAGATAAAAACGTTTTGAAGATTTGGAATTGTTGGTATATATCCGATTGAGCATTAAAATCGTGCTCATAAACGTGAAGGGTGTGCCATTGAAGAGTGAAAATTGAGCTTTGCAGAGAATATCGTACACGGGGTTTTTCATAAAATATTTTCAGAGGAGAGTTTGTGAGTTTTTAATAGATAATTTGCAGTCGATTTTGAATTTTTAGCTAGATTAATTAAAGATCATATATATTCCTCGCTACTTTCTTGAAATTCTTGCATGTAGTATTGTTTGGTTACCGAAAAACTTGGAAGAAATAAAGGGCGCGTTTAGAATTCATTCTAAAATGATTTTATTTTTTGTATAAAAATAAAAATGAAAATTTAATCTCAGATAGAAATTATTTTTAAAAATACGTTTGGTAGTTTTATTAAGAGATTATTTTCAGTATAAAAAAACTCATTAATGTTTCTCTCTATGCTCGAGAGAAGAGAAAAGGAAAACAAAAAATGAAAAATGACTAAAAGTCATTTTTCATTTCTCTCTCATTTTACACTAAACTAAAAAATCCTTTTCATTTCATTTTTTTGTCTTTATTGCGTAAAACGTCGTTATGAAAACGTTTTTATTTTTTCTTTCTCGAAAAACGTAAAAAATAAAAACATGATCAATTCTAAACACGGTAAAATGTAGAAGACGAATGTGGTGTGAAATCTCTTGTACGTTTATATGCATGTTCATTTTCTCGTAATTCTTCAGAAACTTGAAATAATGGGGACTGGATTTGTAAGCAATGTTCCCCTGTTTGGTTACCGAGAAAATTTGCTATATATAGCTCGACAAAAAAAGAAAATTAGGAGAAACGAATTTCGGCCCCGTTCATTTTGCTGATTCGAGTTTTGTTACAGTAAAAAGCTCTCGGAAACAGTCACATCTAACTTTTTTGCTACAGTAAAAAGCTCTCACACAATATCACATCTCAACTCGAATTAAAAACTCGAATTAACGAACCGAATGGGTCGTGACATACTTGGCTACTTCGTCTTCAAAATTAGGCAAAAAAATAAAATCTAATAGCAGTATGTTTTTACCTACTCGTTGCTTTGTACAATCCCTTTCTAATACTCTATTTTCTTACTTAGTCTTGTTGTTTTCTTCGAATTTTGTTGAGATCTAGAGTTAGAATTCAATGCTGAAACTTGATGGCGAGACAAGTGTTTGGAGGAGAGATTTCAGATCGCCTCAGGCGAAATGGAGGTGACTGGGAACCATGGTGCTGGCAATCATTTTCTTCTTCCGCGAGCAAGCCTCGCTTACTGTCGCGTTCGCTACGATGATGTATGTTAGTTTTTGGTGGTGCTATTATGTCAATACTTCTTTAAATCAAGCTCCACCAGAATCTTTTGATTTCAACGAGTTTATGGACTTCATTCACAGCTGAAATGAATTTAAGATCTGGTATTTAACTAAAGTCTTAGTTTCTTTCACTTGACATTCAGTACATTTGAATGCCAATTTAATTTTATAGATATGCTAAGTTTTCTTGTGGATGATCATGTAGTTTAATCTATCTAGATATGTACATTTGAAAGATCTTGTCCGATTAGCTTTTATACTTTGAGCTATGTCTAGACTACTGGAGGCTTACTTGGGACCGGCTAGCTATTGATAGGAGTGACAATTTGTGTTACCGTGTCATGTTGACCCTCTCAGTTGACGCGGTAACACCTGACACGAACATAACCCATTTATTATTCATGTCGAAATATGATGCTTAATATTTTTGTATAGTAAATTTCCGCAAGCGTACGGTGTCAAGTTTTGAGTATAAGGTGAGTGAGTATCGTCTCCACATGGATTGGGTTTAGAATTGCCGTTAAGTACCGCGATTATTGTATGCAACCTAATAAGATGATGATTAAGAACTAAAATAAAATAAATATAAGAAAATAAAAATAAAGTATCTATACACAAATGGTCTAGAGACTTGATTTTGCTTTATTATTCCTATGTTTATCCTATTATGTAATCGCTAATCAATTCCATTCAATTCATTAATCAAGGCTCTAATGTCACCTCGCAACCTCTCTCGAGTGCCTCACAAGGAATTGTATTTAAATACCCAAAATAATATCACTATTCAAAATGAATATTAAAACACAAATTAAGCTTCGCCTTTAGAATTAGAAAATAGGAATATTGATCGCCTCTCGGCCTCACAACGACCTAAATCCTAATTTGATTATCTAACCGTTGATCTCCTCTCGGTCTCACAACAACCTAGACTATGTTTCTCAAATCTAGATAAAGAACTAAATCTCTCTCGAGCATCAAATTCGCAATCTAAAAATCATCTAACTCATTGGTCAAATAAAGTAGAAGCATTAAGCATAGAGAAACATAAATGAATTGAAAACGAAATTAAATTAACAATCAACAAAATATTCAAAACATAGTTTAAATAAAACTACATCAAGTCTTAGTTTTAATGTCTAGCTCAACATGGAAAAATAGATGAAAGAAGAGAAAATCCAATATCCATTGAAGAGCTTCCAATGACCTCCAAGATGAAGGATTTCGGCCTCCTTTTGATGTTTTCTTCAGATTTCCGGACTCCCTTTCTCAAATGGCACCTCTTTCCTTTTATACTACTCAGTTTCGGAGCTAGGGCTTCATACGCACGCTGCAGCCTGCGTGAAAACGCGCTGCGGCTCACGTTTTTGGAAGAGGATCCCGCTGTTGCGGGTTGGGGCGCGCTGCAGCGCGCGGGGCTGCCAGCTGGGCGCACTGCAGCGAGCGTTCTTGCTCTAACTTCGCTTTTCTTTGCGCGATGTAGTCCGCTTTCTTGCATTCCAAAGCCTCCTCTTTTGTGCTTTAAAATCCTCTTTCGCCTCTTCTTGGCATTGATTCACAAGTTGGGCAAATATTCTTCTTTTCTTCATGCAAAATCATCCAAGTTCGTATTTATTTATAATTCTTATAAAAAGCATACAAAAGACATTAAACTAACAAAAATGCTTGAAGACTTACAAATATTCACGCTTGAAAGTACTTGATTTGTTGGTAGAAATACCCGTCATCAAAATACAAAACCCAAACACGACCTGTATATTGGCGGATTGACAGGACACGACATCGGTTTATTAAACATTTCATAATAAGATCGTGTCAACTTATTTCTCAATCTGTTTCTCAACATAGGTAACAAATGGGTTGTAATTGTGTTGTGTATTCGTGTTATCCAAATACGACACGTTTAATAAACGGGTTACGACGGGTCAACTCACTACAAGAAAAAGGGGTTTTTGCGACGACTTTTTGTCGTCGCAAAAACCCCAGTGTCGTCGCAAATAATAGTTTTCTTTTGGATGATCATGTAGTTTAATCTATCTAGACATGGACATTTGAAAGATTTTGTCTGATCAGA